CCCGCAACCAATTGCCAAACATGTTACGCGCACTATGTGGGGGGGGTATAGATTTGAAACTATTTGAACTATGGCCCATACTGCACGAGCAAACTTACACTCAAAATATAAGTGTTTAATAGAGTCGTCATGTTGGCAAAAGAGGCATGTCTTTCTACCTTGCAAGTTACGTCGTGCCAGATTATCTCTAGTTAAGATGACCCCTCTGCTTAAAACCAGAGGAATATCTTCACACTTGGAGGAATTTTTAGCTTCCACAATTTTTTGTTATCAATGGGAACATCAATATGAGTCATCGCATCGTACAAGGACTTGACCGAGAAACTGCCGTTTTAATGCAGTTTCCATCGAAACTTGTCCGGTTCTCTTGTCAGTTGAATGTCCTCCAGACGAGTGAGTAACTCATTCCATGCTGCCAGACGAGGGCCAAAGAGGTCCCTACGAAAAGAAATATCGGGGTTTTCTTGTCCCAAAACTTGTTTGATCCTTACAAGTTTATGTCTGACAACCCTGTACAAGCTAGGGTGCTGCACCATAAGTGGGGTCGCACCTAGCCAGGTATCTTTCCAGAATCGAACCTGAGAACCATCCCTAACTAAGAAAGTACCAAACTGAAAAAATAATTCCTTGGCCTTCATGACACCATACCAAAAATGTGAATCACCGGGTTTCCAATGAACTTGAGAAATGGCTTTGGACCCCACGTATTTGTTATGAATGATTTCCTACCATACTCCATTCTCAGTGAGTAATTTGTAAACCCATTTACTCAGAAGAGCTATGTTTTTAATCTCAAGGTCTTGAATTCCAAAGCCCCCTTGACTTTTAGGTCGTCATAATATAGTCCACCTAGCCAGTCGATATTTCATAGATTCATTATCACATCGCCAAAAAAATCTGGATCAAAAGTAATCCAAACACTGAAGAACCCCTTTCGTAAGTGGAAGAATGACAACATGTATAGAACCATATTGCTGAGGATGGAATTGATCAATATCAATCTCCCCCATATGATAAGAGTTTGGCTTTCCAACTGGCTAGCCGTTTCTCAAGTCTCTCTTCCACATGTTTCCACTCAACGATAGTTAAGCGCCGATAGTGAATCAGAATACCTAGATACCTAATCGGGAACTGCCCAAGCTGGTAGCCAAAAATGTCAGCATACTCAGTTGCGGACTCTGCAGCGTCGTCGAAGCAGAAAAGCTCGCTCTTATGAAAATCAATTTTGAGACCAGAGAGCTCCTCAAATGCGCATAAAAACAGCTTGAGGTTTCTTGCTTTATCTAGATCATTATCCATAAAAAGAATAGTGTCATCCGCGTATTGTAAAATAGACAGACCTTCTTCTACTAAATGGGGAATAACACTACTAATTTGATCACCCACCTTAGCCCTCTGAACAAGGATAGCTAACATATCGGCTGCGATGTTGAACAAAATAGGGGATATGGGGTTCCCTTGGCGAAGACCCTTCTTAGCCTGAAAATAGTTGCCAACATCATCATTGACTTTGAAAAGCAAGAACGTTGACTCCATCTAGTATAACACCACTAATGACATGGCAACATTATCATAGGCCATTTCGAAGTCAATTTACGGTGAAGCTCATGTCCAGTTTCATGCAACACAACCATTCCATCTAGTATGTTGCGTCCTTGCATAAACGTTTGTTTGAGTGGGTTTGACCACATGGTCAGCCACCCCGTTCAACCGATTTGTTGCAACCTTCATAAATAAATGGCCTAGTTTATGGCCTTGTTCAATCTTACTAGCATTGTTTCCCATTATATATACTTATCCATTTGAATCAAGTTACCATGTTTCCGGTTGTGGTACTAAAAACATGAGACCTAACAATGTATCACTAAAAAAGCATATAGAGCCGTTTACTTGTTCTGTTACGTTATGTCCTTCACTTCTTTGTTTAATAAACTATCAAACTACACGCTTGTATGTCTTCTTTGTTGGCGCAGGTCCTGACTCGTCGCAGCTCACGATCTGGTCGAGTACTCTCCGGCCGTCCGCGAGCTATGCGAGCTGTATTGATCTGGGTTTAGTTGATTTACAGGGGCCGGTTTGCACATATCTATATATAGCACATAGGCTAGTTAATACTAAACCTTTCCAGTGACTGCTTCCAAACCGTGCCGGATTGGAATACCACATCGTGGTTAACTCTAACATTCTTCTGTTTCATGTACATCGGGAACAAATATTTCGCTCAGCGGTATCTTTCCCCCCTCTTGGTTTCATCCATGTTTTCATGATCAATTTAATAGTTGGTTTCATCCTGATTTTTCCTTACTTTTGGTTCGTGCTATGCCGATATTGTGTTACTTGTTTTGAGCTTCATCCTCTAGAGAAACATGCTCCGGTGAGGGTGGGGGAGCTCTAAGAAACTTTTTTGCGATTCTTTTCATCTTTTCGAATTTTGGCTTATTTTTCTGCACTGTGTTAAATCTGTAATGCCACAGAACTTCAACTTTGTGGCTGGTGGAAATCCTACCAGCTGGTAGCGAGGCCGAGTGGAACGGGTGGGAAAAGAAAGTTTGGCTCTCAGGCCTCTTGGACCTTTGGAGGTTAGGCGGTGTAATCTTTGCAAATTACAGTTCCTAGGTCTATGTGGAGGGCGTTTCGATATACTTGGGCACTGAGATATATTGTGACTATATATCAGATAAATTTATGTATTTGAAATAGGTGCTAACTAATCTTATAAGTAAAACTATTGGTAAATTAATAGTTCAATTAATTACGGCATTTGGTACTGTACTCAAGCATTTGTATTAGAATAGTTTGTAACTTGTCACCTAGCTCGATGTTAACTATACAGGTCTGCACTTCAATATTGGAGCTGATCATTCTGCAGCATGTGACACAGTTGAGTATGTTGTATTGTAAGGACTACTTGATTCTTTTTTCGGTTTCCTGCCTCTCTTTTTCTGATTTGTATCCTTGATAAGCATTATGCATGTGCCCTTCAAATGAACTCGTGGAGATGGCACTCTTTCTTCGGAGCTTTATTTTTCTTCTCCTTGGTAACTATCCCATTAACCTGATTTTTATGACCTTGATTTTTTTGGGAACAGAAATCAAATACAACTTGGCTTGTAAAAATATAAATCTTGGACATATGCAACATAATCAAGCTGAAGTTAAAACTTACTGTACTGTTTAAATCTGAAGAATACTTTTCAAGTTTTGTAAGACTTTTTCAAGTGTTGTTTATGTATGTATTTTCCCAGCTTACAGAAGAATTTTAGGGTCTTGTTACCCAAATTATTTGCTTTTTATAATACTAAGTTCAGCTATTTGCAGGCAAACGAACTATGCATAATAGGCAGTACTTGCCAGAATAAGATGTCCCCAATGCACTCGCTAAAGCTTTCTAGGAAGTTATCTGACCCATGTTGCATCATCCGAAAATATTTTTTGATCCCTGATGTTTTTCACGTAGAAGTTCTTTCATGACTATAGTTCCCCGATGCCCTCGCTAGCTGAAGCTGCATGAACAACATCCACAATGTTTTTCGTGTAAAAGTTATTTCATCCTCAAAAACCGAACAGAGGGAACTTCTCCTTTAAGTAAAATGGTTAGTAGACACAAGGTTTTAAATCATACTTCATGGTCTGTCACATGAATAGGAAATATCTATCATGCTTCATAGACAAACTAGCTTTTCATTCTAATACACTACATCCCTTTCTTACTATTACAAGTATGAAATATATTCAGTGAGATTTATATTGTAACAATATTTGATTTTGCAATTATATTATTCCAGTGAATTACGGCGGGCATTGGATCAGTTTGAACCAATTTATTAATTATCAAAAGAAATATAGAAAGCTCGGACAACTACAAAATATAAAGACTGTTTAGGACCTGAGTTACACGGAAAATATACAACAAACAAAATCCTGTAGAAAGTAGAAACTACCTAGTCCCTTGTTCCATTTCAATCAGGTGCCAGACACTGGTTAAATAGAAAGAGAGCACAGGAGTGGGGGAGGAGAGCAGAATGTGACTATCTCTTCAGTTAGCTTTCTCAAGTTGGAGTGACTTGAGCCAGGTAAGAAACATTAAAACATTTTTTTTACATTTATTTGATGGGGGGTGCTTATATGTTTTCTCAAGTTAGCTTTTCGCTAGTAGGTCGCAGCGCCGCAGACGGGCAGTTGCAGCTTCTCCGCGGAGGCTCGTGCGGTTGTTACAACGCCCATGTGCTTTGGTCATAAAGAGGTTGTAGGCGGGGCACCCCTGTCGCGGCATCATCTTCCTCTACCTCCTCCTACGTCGTCAGCTCTTCTCTCCTTCGGTGGGCAGCGTACGCGTGGAGCAGCATGGTCACTCTCGTCACAAGTTGGAAGCGAAACCGTAGCAGCGTTGCGATTTGCGGTAGTCCAGATGCGCGTCGGCCTTTCTGGTGGCAAGAGAGAGCAGAGAAGAAGCGTGCTAGGACGGGCGTCCATGATGATCCCCACACAATGATGAAGGGGAAAAATGAGATGGGAACGAGAGGACCGGGTTTCTCGGTCGATGATAAGGAAAGGGAGAAAGGGAAACGGTGGCAACATGGCACGTGACCATGCGACCGGCGAAAGACGAGATCGGTGGCCCGACATGGAAATCCTTTCCTCATAAAGTCACAAGAAAACTTGGTTGTGAAGTTGAAACTTAGTTGTGAAGTTCCGTTTCAAAAAAAAAAACTTAGTTGTGAAGTAAACTTAGTTGTGAAGTTGAATTTACTTGTGAAGTAAACTTAGTTGCGAAGCAAACTGGGTTGTCTTACCAACAGTCCAACACCAGCACCACAAAAGGGCGTACTCTCAAATAGTCCACAGACACAGGCCACACAGCGCATCTGATGTCTAATCGTAGCACCCAAAATTTACCCTAGCCGCCTGCCTCTCCACAGTTGACAGTTCGCACCCCCACCCTCTCTCTCTCTCCACTTCCAAAACTGCCCAGGTCTTCACAGGCGGCGCCTTCCAGCGACATGGATCTGACACAGGTGCTGCCGGAGGAAATACTCGCCGACGTGCTCCACCGCGTCGCGCCGCGCGGCCTCGCCGCATGCCGCTGCGTCTGCAAGGCCCTTCTCGCCGTCATCGACGCCAGCCGCCTACTGCGCGCGGACCTCCTCCCGCTCTCGGTCGGCGGCGTCTTCATCAATTTCTACTGCGAACGTGTGTCGGAGTTCTTCGCCAGTCCCTCCACCGGCCCCACCATCTCCAGCAGGTTCGACTACGTGCCCTATCCCAGCCGTCCTGATTGGCGCAAAATCAAGGACCACTGCAATGGCCTCCTCTTGCTTGCTGATTATTGGGATTGGGAGGATTGTTACGTGGTTAACCCGGCCACGCGGCAGTGGGATTCTCTACCACCGCGTCCGTCCGTGTTCGAGGAGATAGATGAAGACCTCAAATGCGAATATCACCTCGTGTTTGATCCCATGGTGTCGCCCCACTATGAGGTGTTTGTGATCCTAAATCCCCGCTAAAACGGACATGAGGACCAAGTAGACCCTGTTATATTGGAGGAACCTGAATCTGATTCTGAATGGCCACCACCAGTGTTTGATTTGCATGTTTTCTCCTCAAAGTCGGGCAGTTGGAAGGAGAGGTCTGTTTTTCGACAAGGGGAGGCTGCTGCCACTGTTTCTGGAATGCGGCGGCATCTCGACTGGTTTGATGACAGACGGCATGCCGTCTACTGCCGGGGCAACCTTTACGTCCACTGCAAAACTGATTTCATAATGAGGTACCGGATTGCTCTTTAGAAATCAGTTTTTTTATCAGTTCCTTATTGATTAATTTTCTTCCATGTCTATATGTTTTGCAGGATCTGCTTGTCAAATGATAAGTACCAAGTAATTAAACCACCCATGGATCGTGAACCGGACGACTACCAGAAGCTTCATCTTGGACGATCAGAAAAAGGGGTGTACCTTGCAACTGCTACTTTTAAAACGTCTCGTCTTATGGTTTGGGTCCTTGACGAATCGTGTGGGCACGCAAATTGGGTCTTGAAGCATAACAATTGCCTTACACCTATACAAGATGATCTTCGTCCTGTTCTTGGGCCATGGGTCTTACAAGATATCAATTTTAATGAGTATCTCAAAGAATGCAAGGAACATAATCAACACGGCGACGACTTGGAATGGCTAATAGAAAAGAAATTGGAGTTGAACTCCGTCAAGAAAGATCTAGGGGAAGAAAAGTTTGAATGGGACTTTGAAAATGACAACGTTCTTCACAAGGAAGATGAGGTTGACGGACGTGGATCTGGATGCTTTGGTATCCTTGGATTTCATCCGTATAAAGAGGTTGTCTTTCTGCATGTATCAATGTGCAGAGGGTTGGCCTATCATTTGAAAGATTCAAAGTTTCAGGATCTTGGCTATTTATACCCAACAACTTGTCATCTAGCATCGGGGGCCGACCGTTTCATAACTGATTCATTCCCATACACACCTTGTTGGACAGAACTGCAGAAAGCAACAAGAATGTAGAAGAAGGCCATCTTGGATACTTGTCCGATGGTTGGGATCCAATTGACCATCGGATTAAATGGTCTACTCATGTTTATCGCCTGGTTCAGTCTTATTAGCAACATTGAATTTATACTTATCCTTTTAAATAAAGTTTCCATGTTTTCAGTTGCTGTTGTACGGACATGAAACCACAAGCTGTATCATTAAAAACAACATATAGAGTTGTTTACTTGTTCTGTTTTTTTATTTATTAAACTATTGAACAACCCATATGCATTTCTTATTCTCTTTCATCTACATTGGGGACAAATATTTCACTCAGCGGTGGTTCCGTTGTTGTTTCCCCAATCAATTTGGTGGTTGGTTTCATCTTGATTTTTCCTTAGTTTGGGCTCCTGCTCCGCCTATATTGTGTTACTTTGATCTTAACCTTCCCCAGAAATATGCTTGTCCAGAAATATGCTTATAGATTGTCCCTATAAGAAACTGTTTTTCCTATTATTTCTGGCCACGTAATTCTGGCTTATTTTCTGTCCTGAGTTCAGTCTGTAATGCCCCTGAACTTCAGCTTTGCCATGGTGGAAACACTCTGAGCAGGACCTTGGGAAGAGAAATGTAAGGCGCTTGGGCCTTGGAGGGTGAGCAGTATTATTTGTGTGAAATCACCGTTCCTAGTCGGAGAACATTTCTATTAGCCTCTCCGAGAAGTTTGGGAAACTGTTCGGGAGTAGCTTGCGACTTTGAGCATGTAGAAACTCCTAGCAAATTAAGTTGGCCTGAAGCCTTCCCTATATATGTTTTTCATTCTATTCTTTATTATTCCTCTTAATTAGTGAAACCTTTTTAAGGTAATTCTGCATTGAGATATATCGTAACTAGTCTTACTATATATCAGTTATATTTGCGTTTTTGAAATAGGCTGTCACTAATCTTATTGGTTCTAATTGCGCTGGTACTACACATTATTGATTTACTTGTTACTTAAATTTTTTTGCAGGAACTTAGTTGTTTAATTCTTAGTAAATGAATTGTTCGATTAATTCTTCCCATTTCTATGATGGCTTGTCAGGTTACTGTTGCATTTGGTACTCAAGCATTTGTATCAGAACAATTTGTATATTGTCATCTACCTACATGTTAACAACACAGGTCTGAACTCTGATATAGGAGCAGATCATTCTGCAGCTTGTTACATAATTGAGTTTGTTATAGTGTAGAGACTATTTGGTTCTTTCTCTTGGTTTGCTGCCTTATTTTTCTTTCTGAGATAAAGTGGATGCCTTTGAATCATAATATATTCTAATTGCTCTTACTCAAGATCTGATAAAGTGCTTAGACTTCCAGTTCTGCAGATGTTAGGTCACGAGCTCAATTATCTTGTTACTCGTACATATTTTGCGATCACCTGACCCTACTAGGAAAAAGGCTACTAGCAGCGCGGGTAAAATGCTACTAGTAGCGCGGGTACTCGCGCTACTAGTATCGCGCTACAGCTAAAAGTTAGTAGCAGCGCGGGTGCACCCGCGCTACTACTAACCTAACTACTAGTAGCGCTCATTTATATCCCACGCTACTACTAACCTAACTACTAGTAGCGCTCATTTCTTATTTCCCACGCTACTACTAACCTAACTACTAGTAGCGCTCATTTGTTTCCCACGCTACTACTAATAATTTAGGAATTAAAAAAATAAAAGTTAGATGTAGTATTCATGGATGGCAATACGTCCAGTGCAAACCAAACCAACGTCACATAACATTCTCAAGATTCCATTTAACTTCAGACACACACAATGATCATCGAAAGGTGGGTACCTTCCCTGGTGTTCCATCACCAACCTAAACAGACAACTTCCCTAGATGTATCTACCAAGGCTCGGAGCTTAGAGGCCGGTGGACCCGAATCCTCCCTCCCCTGGACGGTGGCGTCGAGGTTCACCACCTCGGCGACCTCCGGCGTCGAATCACCTGGACAATCATCTACGCGACATGGCCACCAGCTTCATGGAGAAGTCCGCCTCTGAGTGGTTGAAGAGCACAGCGCCCACCGGCTGCGCTAGTCAACGTCGATCACCCATGCGCCCATGTCCAGAAAGTGAAAACTTGTTAGTACGCAAATTGCATCAGTTCAACTAAATGGTATATTCCAATTCACAAGACCCATTAATTAAGTTAAGATTCTTTCTCATCTAGCAATTTAAAGGGGCTCATGCCGAAAATATATGCTTAATTCCTCACTGGCTATTCAAACTAAATGGTCCAAGAACTTTGGGACAATCAACAACCTTTCCGCTTGATCTCCGCTAGCTACATTGGATTCAACAAGAAAAGGAACATTTATTTGAACTGAAAACAACAAGCAGGCAAGCATGCTATCAATCTTCTGGCTAGAATTTCACAAAATGCACCTGTCAAGTGTACTCTAACAGTCGACGTGTCCCATCTCCTCATGATTAAGGACTCTAGCTGAGCCAACAACATGGAGCAAGATGTAGTCATTTCCGAGCATGAACCCTTGGCTGTCATCAATGAACCTGCAACATCCATGATGCCCATTGTAAAATATGTTAGTTTCAGATAAGAAAAGAACTGAACTCTGAACATATGATGTTATCTAAATCCTTGCTTTATGGAGATGTCATCGGCAGCAAAAAAAGGAAATATATTTCACTGATTTTGGTGTTGCAACAACGTATATACTTTATCACATTATAAGTCCTCACACCATCAACTATGACAAAATCTGAGAGTATAAGTCTGGTTACATTCACCCAAGTCCAAACATAAAATTCTGTCCAACATAGTACAGCCCACTTTGATAATTTCATAGTATTTAATATAACGAACGAAACCTGACAAGTGATATGTGTTTAAGTATCTACAGAACAGCCTCTAAAATTTTCATGCTGTAACTTTATTTTAATACCACCTCTAACAGGGCCTAATCTCCCATATCAAAATACTGTACCCAGGAACATATATTTCGGGACAGCAAACTAAATTGATGGCTGCTCTCAAACCGTACATCCAAACGACACAAATAAATACTCTAAAGAAACCTTGGAACTTTATCTAAAACTTATGTAAAGGGGCCAACTCAAAATTCTAAGCCTAGCTAACTCATTTTTCAGATCTAAGCTTGCTGTCCAAATTGGACAGTGCAGTTTTTAACTGAACCAAGTTCAGTTTACAGCCATGATGCAGAACTAGATGCTAAAACTAACACCTTGTAGGGAGAGGCGATGCACCATTTTTACCTCGAATCAAAGGCTTCGCATATGCGCTTTGGCCGGATAAATAGATGATATCTCCCTTAACAGTATCCATGCCATGATGCAGAACTAGTATTTCCAAATTTCGCCAAATCACCACTCGAGCATTTCTAGAGGAAATTAATTGATTCTCTACATAGCATCTGCCCTACAATAGCTAATCCTTAAACAGAAAGTTGGGCAAAGCGAGCACCACACATGTTTAACTGGGGTACATGTACATCCAACAAGGACACAAAACTAAGTAAAACCGAATGAAGCAACTGAAGAGTACCTCTTCCACGCTAGCCTTAGCCGCCGTCTCACTGCTCACGCACAGACACTCCGTCCGCCAGAGGTTGAATATCTGCAGAACCAGAAACATTACTCCTCCAAACCCATAGCAGAGAATTCGAGCCCGACCACACCCGGGCCACTACCCCCAAATCACAGAGACCACTCCTTCAAACATTTTTTGTGACTTTCATTCTCCATTACTACAAAAGGCAGAAAAACAAACATTTTTTGTGTTTTTCATTTTCTTTTGCTACAAAAGGCCGTAAAATGAACTAGCATTTTTGTGTGTGTTTTTTCCTGCGCGCGCTTCGAAAGACAATACATAGAACAAACAAATGGAATCCCCTCGAGATCTTTACTTTCTCCGTGGTGATTTGTGAACACCGCTGCCAGCCTACATATATGAAGTAATTCTTAGAAAATGTATACGTGGAGTATCAATGGTTACTGTTTAAAATGATGAGAAAGATATATGTCTTGTGCGTGCAGATTGGTAATTAAATTTATTTTTTACAGTTGATTGGCAATTCCTGTTATTCAATCTAGTCTAGAATGTGAAAAAAGACAAGGAGCATATGCACCTTGATTCCCACAGGTGAAGATACACTGCTAGCTTAGCTCAATCAGAATACTATGGTTTCTATAAAACTGTAGTTTTGAAAACTGTGAGGTGTTTGGCTAAACCAACAACAGTAGTTTCATATTCACTTGTATTCCTGATACAATGTTTTTTTCTAACTTCTAGACAAAGAGGTCCAGACCTCTTTTTTCTCAAACTGAAAGCTTGGTTTGTAACTCACAATTATCAACATGGCAAACTAGGCCTCTGCATAGCATGCTCCACACTAGTTAAACATGATGCCGAATTTTTCGAATACTGCGGTATTTTAAAAATTACACTGCCAATCTAGGCCTTACTGCATATAAGTTTCATAATGTAATTTCGTCCAAAGCATTGAGATTCAGAGATCAGGGGACGATAGGATGAGGTACCTCTCTGAGCTGAGCAGGGGTGACGAATAATGTAATTTCGTCCAAAGCATTAATATAGCATGCTACCAGTACCTGCAAAATTTCACACAATCAGCAAAAACACTACCTAACACCTATACAGAACCATGCCCGTACATCTGTTCTCATTTTCACATGGTTTGTCCTGCCTTCAGAAACTACCATGGGAGGCCATGTGAAGCTCATAAACAGGCAGGGACTGAACTAGACGGTTCTAAATGATCCATGACTCAGCCAGCATGGACTCTTGTTTAACAAAAAATGGCAGTTTCTGCCATGGAGGGCACATGCATACTGCACATATGTTAAGTTCGCAGGCTAAACATTTTCCCTTATGCTCGGGCTAATTAACCGGAGGCATACCCCAATGTCTTCAGCAACTCAAGAAAAATTGCATATCCTCGATTGAAAAAGAATATATTAAACTGAGGGATAGTGAGATGATTGGAGATCTAAATT